AGGCGGTTAGCTCCAAAGACTTTCTACTCGACGAATTTTGTCAGGATACATGGACGTCTTGTCACCTTTTCTTTTTGTACACATCTTTGCAAAGAGCAACACAAAAAAAAAAAAAACGATTGATTTTATTTGTTCAATGCGTAGACTTTTCTGATACGGGTGGAGTAAGTTTTACAAAGAAATGCTCGGCATCCATGACCGAAGCCCCAACATTTAATACTGATAAATGTATCCAATATGACAGAAAATCAACCATTCAGAATGGCTTACTAAATCATCTTTGCTAGAGTAAGAAAAAAACTAAGTTACGAGTACACAAAATTGTCCACATCAACTACCAATGCCAAGTTCAATTCTCGCTAGATTATATAACACGCGCGCCGTACGTGAATACAAAATATATCTTAAGGGGGGAGGCGAAGATTCTAGTTTCAAATATTCTAATTTAAGATCATTTCAACATTGTACACGATTTACGTTCTTTGCTTATAGGCATTATTATAAAAGGTTCAACATGGACCGCAGATAAAATAAGAAAAATTCAAAACACTAATGCTAAAGATAATCACCCTTCGTTTGGTTCGGTGCTCCCTCCAAGTTTTCTGCAACAATCCAACTGCCCTGATCTGTCAAAAGAAAAGCACCAGTCATGTACTGATGGGGTTGAATTCTGAACCCATTTCCCTGATAAGATCATGGAGTCGAAAGGGAACAAATAATGCTTTTTAAAATGAAGCTATTCTTCTTGGATCAGATCTAGATAATAACTAAAATCGCCCGATTAAGTTAAACGATCGATGCATTGAAACTCCTCTCTCGCCAAGGGCCAAGGAACGCTAAAAAAACTGATTTAGCTTCTGTATCTTGCTTGCTTAGTCTCGGTTAGGATGCTTTACAAAAGCATCAGTGTTGCTTGCGGTTAGGGTGGTGAATATGATCATATTCCACCATAAGCACTTTTGAAGAATTAGAAGTTGAACTGATCCCGGCGGACATGATCTGAAATATGCGGCGAATTCACCGTATACTACTCAAAATAGCTGTTGATGTCAACTTGTGAAACCCTCTTCCCTTTCAAATGCTATTTATTAATAATCCTACTCTTTTTTTGTATAACTGAAATTGCACGATAACCCTAAACGACTTAATTCACCATATAACTCTACATCAAAGTACCTTAAATTCAAGTTTGCATTTGAATCTGCGCCAAACCGCCTGAATTATGGAGGTACTTTCATTCTGCAGATACAAAAAGCATCGTGATATCAACATATGATATCAGCATCTAAAAGAATTAACTTTATTTTGAAGAACGTACTAAAGGTCTAAATTCTGTAGAGCCTCTATGCTAAGGCCTCTACCTTACAAAGGTTAACGTGTAACTCCATATCAAATTACCTTGGAGTCAATTTCTTCTCATTTGCGCATTAGCTCAATTCAGCGGGCGTGGCGCAGATTTATACCGGACTGAGTTTGGATATAAATCTGCGCCACGCCCGCTGAATTATGGACGCGCTTTCATTCTGCAAAGACAAAAACCATTATGATATCAAAAATTGATATTATCATCTAAAAGACCTTATTTTGAAGAACGTAATAAAGGTCTAAATTCTGTAGAACTTCTATGCTAAGGCCTCTACCCTACGGAGGTTAGCCGCTTAAAATGGCAGCCTCCCTCAAAAGGCTACACCCTTACAACGGCCACTTTCTTACTGTGACTACCTCTCTACGACGATCACCTCCTTTGCACTCAGCTACTTTTACACAACATTATAAAAAAATCAGAGTACCTGTCTTTGCAGCTCTCTATCTTTTTGGCGGGCGTCGTTTTCAGTACTGAAAAAATGTCACAATGTTACAATGGCGATCACCAGTAATACTTTCTTGTAAATCAAGTTTGGCAAAAACACATCCTTGTTCTTTCCTTTTATTGGCTGCACTAGCCGTTCAATACCTTAAGTTGGGTACAACAGTTATTTTACGTTAAACTTTTGAATATTTATTTAACGTCTGGTAGCAAGAGAAACAATTTAACCCTGAGTTTGATAAAGCAAGCTGCACAATCGGTTCGTAAATTTAAAGTTTTCCGCTCCTTTCCTAAAAAACCCGAAACTTTTATAGTTATTGGACTAAATGATAAAAGACTTACCTTTCCTCGCATTTCTTCTCTAGATCTCCAGTTGGCCATAAATATTCCGTAATACTTATTGCTCCAGTGATCACAACGTTCACAAACTGATGTTCGTAAAATTTATTCAACTTCTTACTTTTTAAACGAACACCATGAGAACTAAAATAAAAATACAAACAAATTACAAGTCAGATGGTGTAAATAATCAGATATAAATACATTTCATGCGACTCAAATGGTTACAAGAAAAAGGAAAAATAAGAACTTAAGCTCTGGTCAAACGGCGCATGATAGTCGATGATAGTTGATGATAGTCGATGATAGTTGAAGATAGTTGAAGCGCGCGCTTCCGTTTCACCACCAACTACCATGCACTAGCATCGACTATCACCAATTAGTATATACTAAAACAGTGGATAGCGTTGAAGGCGTGCTCTGATTGGCTAGTCAAACTCCGAATATCCTTTGCTATTTACCTCCGAGCAACTCGGGAAAAAATGGCGTCCCCGTTTGCATCCGTGACAAGCGAAGAAATCACTCAAATTAACGACGGTGGTGTATATTATCTCACTGTTTTAGTATATACTAAAACAACTATTCACCTCAGTGTCGGTGGTTAGCGGTGGATATTTACCTCGCCGCTTCGCGGCTCGGTAAATATCCACCACTAACCNCATGCGCCGTTTGACCAAGGCTTTACAATTAACGGTACAACGATGTCGTAAGCAACTTTCGCTTAAACTAAATTTTAAGTCTTAACTTACTTCACAAAACGAGAAATCACAAATAAAGAAAGAAAAATACGAATTGCTTAATGAAATAAACTAAAAATGCGTAAAAATATTTACCTTGGTGCTGCTATCACTAGAACACTTAAAAAGGTTTGAGCACGGCGGCTAAAACTTCGCTTTCAGTTGAAAGATCTTGCGTCAACTGATGACAAAAAGAAAACAACTAACCTTTAGACAGCTTGCGGGCTGTCGCGGCGCTTTCGTGAGCGCTTGCGATACGCGTGTGCGTCTAAATTAAAGGTCGCGCGCTGATGTTACCAGGCCGCGCGTGCAACTAAATTAAAGTTCGTGCGCTGCTATATTGCGTCAGTTACATACTCGCAGTGGGGCTCCTAAGAAGACAAAAATCAGCTTTGAGTGGAAGTTTTGATCAAATGTTCTGAACAGTTACCTCCCACGAAGAAATCCTCTTTTCCTGTCGCGATACTCATCTATTATAAAATTCTAAGCCTTCTTTTAGTAAATTCAGGCTTTTGCCC